CACAGTCAGAAAGGACAGAGAACATAAAACCCTACCCAAATGAATAAAGGCTGCAATGAGACCTGATGATGAAGTGGCTAACTGTACTGTCAGTTTTTTTCCAATTGTATCACCTGTGACTCTGCAAGTCTTTTGCTATTTTTGTTCCAAAAGATGTTAATTCAAGTTAGGTAAGTTTTGTATCACAAAGATACTAGTCAGGTACATTTGTAAGTGAGACAACTTGTTCTGTACTTCCTTTGTCCTCTCACATGGCTGGAACCCAGTTGTGATTGATGGAGAGCCAGTTTAAACTATGCGAACAAGAAGGACCCCTAAGGGATTGCAGAGCAATAAGGAAGGAACCCTTGGCCATGAATTAATTACCTTGTGAAGCAAAGTTGCCTAAGAGGCCCTAGACTGCCTGTCTACCTCTGGACTATTTATATGAAAGTGTTAATCTTGCTTTAGCTACTGCATTTTTTAACCTATTTGTTACAGAAATTTATTCCTTGCCTTGGGATTGTATTGGCAGGTGGAAACCTTGCAGGCTGGAAGGCTGCTGACTCTTTCCCAAGTGTCATGTGTGTTAATTTGGAAGGCAGACTGTCAAGCCTACAGCTCTGAACGAAGTAGTTAAGAAAAGGTCAGAATGTGCCTGTGTTGGCTGCACTCCTTACTTTTAGCAAGGTTCAACAAAAAGAAAGGAAATCAATTAACAATTAACCAGTTTGCAAGTAGACACTTTAGAAAATAGTCTCTACTACTGGACCCCACCCATAACATCTGCTCCAGCTGTTGATCCACATATTATGCATCTCTGGGGATCAATTCAGATACTTTATGTTTGAGGTTTATCTTCATCTCTCTCTAGCCTCTTCTATAACGATATTCATTTACAGAATGACATAGTAAAGATCCTTGAAAAATCAACTTCTACAATCTTTTTTTAAAGACTTTTTTTATTGACTTTGAGAGAAAGGAAGAGGGAGAGAGAAACATCAATGTGAGAGCAATACATCGACCCATCGGCTGCCTCCTGAATGTCCCCTACTGGGGATTGAGCCCACAACCTGAGCATATGCCCTGCTTGGGAATCGAACCAGCAACCTTTCGGTGCAAGGGATAACATTCAACCAACCTGAGCCACAGTTGCAAGGGCTTCAATCTTTTTATTTTAAGGTCAGATAAAGTTTAAGTGACTTGTCCAAGGTCAAATAGCCAACTCAGGTTCAATGACCTTTGCTGAAAGAAGAATCTTTCTTTGGTATTGTACAGATGTTCCTTCCTGAGGCCTGTTATGCAGAATGGGCAATTGAACCCAACACTTCCATCCACTTTCCCTTCCTAGGCAAGTCTAACTCTTTTGTGTTCAGATACTCATCTATCCCTTAATTAGGTTTAGTACAGACTAAGTTGCTTTAGCAAGGATACCCAAAATACAGTAACTTAAACACGATATGTTTATTACTCTTTCAAATTACAGTAGAGGTGGTAGTCCAGGGCTGACATGGCTGCTTTGCCATCCTGACACACAGCTTCCATTGTGGCATCTGAAATGACTGCTAACACTCACTCTCACTTCCTCACCCCACGGAAGAAATGGGAGGCAGGGGCAAGAAATGCATGCCCCAGGAATTTCAATTAAAGTTTACTAGGGTGACATTGGTTAATAAAATTATATATAGGTTTCAGGTGTGCAATTCTATAATACATCATCTGTAGCATGCCCTAGGACTTTTAAGGCACAATTCAGAAATCACATGTATCATTTCCACTTATATCCCATTGGCTACAATTTAACCATAAAGGGGAAGGCCAGATAATGTAGGCTCCATGTGAGCAGTTATGTACCCACTTTTAAATTATGGGAGAGTGAACCTCTACCCATCAGTCTAGTTCCAAGGGTTATAATGCTACCCATACTTGTATTATTGACTTCATTACAGTTACTTATTTTTGAAAAAAATTTCTACTAGTGAAATATTAAACTAAAAAGGAACTCTTATTAGTACTACAAATCTAAATCTAACATTTTTTATTGTTTTCCCTGAAAAAAAAAAATGATTTCAGAGAGAGGAATGGAGAGAGAGAAGGAAGAGAGGGGAACATTGATGTGAAAGGGATTGGCTACCTCCTACACAGCCCCCAATGGGGACCAAGCCAGAAATACAGGCATGTGCCCTGACTGGGAATCCAGCCATGAACTCCTGGTTCATGGGACCTGAGCCACTCAGGCTGGGCATCAAATATTTTTTAACTCACAAAAAAATAGTACACATTGGTTTGCAATAGTTAGTAAACACAATGATATGAAGAAAAATAGGACTTTTTATTATTGTTAATTTTCACCCAAGGATAATTTCCCGTTGATTTTTAGAAAGAGTGGAAGGGAGGGGGAGAAACAGAGAGAGAGAAATATTGGTGTGAGAGAGAGACTATCGACTGGCTGCCTCCAGCACACACCCTGACAGGGCCAGGGATCAAGCAGATAGCTGAGGTTATGTGCCTCTGACCGAAATCAACACAGGACCCTGCAGTCCACAGCTGACACTCTACCCACTGAACCAAACTGGCTAGAGCTTCCAATGATTTTTAGAGAGAGTGGAGGGAAGAGAGAGAGGAAGGGGAAAGAGAGATAGAGATGTGAGAGAGACACATTGACTGGTTGCCTCTGGAACTCACCCGACATGGGCTGGGGATAGAAACTGTAACCCAGCTATGTGTGCCTTTGATTGGGAATCAAGACCCTTCAGTTCCAGGTCAGACTACTAACCACTGACGCACACCAGCCAGGGTGAAAAATAGAAACTTTTATATCAATTCCAATCTTGCAAAAAGAGTTAAAGGTTTATCTTAAAAAAAAAATGTCACTCAAGTTTAATGTATTTTTATTTGTCTAGTAAAAGTAATTTCATAATTAAAAATAAAATTTTAACTGCATTCAATTTGTTTCCCCCCCATTAAAGATAAAGGACTGCTAGCTTCAAGTAAATGTGTAATTATGACAAACTGAAAGACTAAATCAAGTACATAAATAGCATGTCAAAACATGAAAATTAATTGTCCTCTTACCTTTTCCTTTCTAAACTGATAAAATAAAATAAAAAATTATAAATAAAATCTGTTTTCTTATTGTAACTTGTGATTTATTATTTTATTTAATGAAAATGTTTGATTTTAAATTTCTGTAAAGTGGTACTTCTTAAATAAATTCCTAAAAATAACAATATTGAAGCCTTGAACATTACATTTAATATCATCTAAAAAAGTATACTAAAATTGTCAAAATAAAAAAGATTACAACAAACACTTTGAGAAAAGTGAAATTATTCGTTATTCATTCTCTGCTGTACTGTTTCCCTCTCCATCTTTAATACCAGTCACAAATTCTATTGTAAAGACTCATTTTTTCTAACCTAAATAGACTGACTCAACATTTCACCTCTACACTTCACTTATACGATTCAGTTCAGATGTCTCAACACCAAATTGAATAATTTATCAAAAAAAATTTTTAAGAACAAAATTTCTATTAATTACTCTATAAAACAAAGCAGAACCTCTACTAGAACAAAAATGGGAAATAATATACCTGTGAATATGTTCTTGTACACCTGTATTCCTGATAGTATTATTTCATAGTATAATCACAGCAAATATACAAATTTTTCAATTGGGTGTGTAAATATTTACTGAAATTTAACTGCATTTAAAGTCATTATTAAACAAAAAAGTCAAATAGCTTTATTATATGTTAAATGGCAATTCAGAATTTTATTTATGGCCTCAAGTAGTAAAAACTAAATCTAAATTAACTGTATTTCAATGAACAGCCTGAATGAATATGTACTCTTGAAAAGTAATTATATAAGTGAGAAGATGAAAAGATGTTAAATGCTAGGATTGATTATATCATTTTGCACAAACTCTAAGGACTTGAGTCCTGGTTGGAGAAAGAGAAAATAAATTTTTCCTATATCCTCATTCATTCAGGATGAAAATAGTCATATTTTAAGGGGGAAAAAGTACTTGCTCCCCAGAAGACATAAAAATCATCTGTAAGAAAGATAAATGTTAGCCTTTTTAATAGCAGGGGAAACTATTAAGGCGAAATATACTCTAGAACCATCTCCTTCACAATGCTTCTAGGGACCTTTCCCAAGATAAATTTTTAAAAACACAATAAAGGATAATGGTATCAATTGTTAGTGGGCAAAAACATTTTATTGCCTAAAACAAACCCAAGTTTGAATGTTATACAGATCAGAAAATTTTTATTATTCAATATAATTAAAGTTGTAAAAAAATTAGTCTTTTTTCTTATTTTCATATTATTAGCACTCAATTTCTGAGGATTTCAAGACAATGTAGAATTTTAAAAACATTAATAATCCCTACTGTAACAAATAGTATATTCTGTAGTTCATTACTCTTACTCCTTCAGTTTTACTTTTTTAAAACAAATCCTCACCTGAGAATATGTTTATTGATTTCAGAGATTGGGAGAGAGTGGGGGGAGGGAGGGAGGGAAAGAGGGAGAGGAAGAGAAAGAGGGAGAGGAAGAGAAAGAGGGAGAGGGAGAGAGAGGGAGAGAGAGAGAGAGATAGATAGATAGGTATTTAGATAGATAGATATTGGCTGCCTCTGTTATGTGCCCAAACAGGGATAGAACCAAAACTTAGGTATACACCCTGACCAGGAATTGAACCTGCAAACTTTTTGGTGTACAGGACAACTCTCAAACTGGGCCAGGCAATAAACACAGATTTTTAAATAAGATGAAAATAAAACATTTTCATAATCTTAAAATCTAGGTGAAACAAACATTCTTGTGGCCCAATAACTTGTAAAATGTAACCAGGTCACTAGACCAACATGCTAGTGTAGAACTTTAACAATTCTAGCAGCAAAACACCTGGAATAACAATAAGTGTGTTCATTGAACTATAGAATAATTCCTATATAAGTAATTTTTAAAAAGTATTCTATAGTTCAACTGCAGGCAAACATAAAAGATATCAAAGATCTTGTTTATCTCCACCTATTCCAGTGGCACTAGGTACATCTGGAACCTTACTGGTTTCAACAAAAACAGATTCAAAGGCAGCTTCCTGTTCATCCAAAGAATCAGCAGCTGTGGCTCCTTTAATTAATGTTGTGTTGGTCAAAGGCTGTTGTTGCTTGGAAATTTTACTGGATTCCAGTGTTTTTCTACCTCTTCTTTTACCAAGGATTTTGACATAATTCGCAGGTATAAGTCCTGTTGTTTGACCATCAAGACTAGCCAGCAGCCAACCACGCACTCTAGGTTGCTGTTCTGATGAAAGAAAAGACAGCCTTGTAATTATAACATACTTTGGAGGTCCAACAGAAAAGTAACAGTAAAATATTAAGTAAAAGCTGTGTTATGTGCAGGAGGCAGCCAATCAATAGTTCTCTCTCATTAATGATGTTTCTATCTCTCTAATTCTCTTCCTTCCTTTCTGAAATATATTTAAACGAAAAATATATTAAAAAAAGACATCTTATAAAGAAATCATTCTTTTGAAATTCAAAATAATAAGATGTGATTTCTCTAGATGGAAAACATGAATATAATTGCTGGAGCGAGATTTTGTGTATGAGGGAATGTGGCAGAGATTTATCAAATTGGATCCAAAATTTTAAATTATTTACACACTAGAGGCCTGGTGCACAAATTCATACACAAGTGGGATCCCTTGGGTAGGCCACTGGTGGCCCGTGGGGTCTGAAAGGTTGGTGACTGCTGGGCTAAAGTTCCTATTTAATAGACAGCATGAAAAGCAGCCAAAGTGGCTCCAAAGTCAGATAAATCTAGGTTCATAGTCCAGCTCCACCACATCTTAGTTTTGTGATTCTAGACAATTTACTCAAAATTCTGAGGCTTAGTTTTCTTGTGTCTAAAACAGGGACAAGGTACTTTAGAAAATTGTAATGCTAACAGCAAGACACCCATGAAAAACACACATGGTGTCAAAACAGCCCAGAGGAAAATCATTTGGGCAAAAAATGAAAAAGGATCTCAAGTCAAATTTATAGAAAATATTCTTTTATTAATTTTTGGTTGAGAATATGTTTGTATATTTTCAGAAAATAACTCCGAGACCATGTTGATTCTGGCAATAGAGAGGAATTGACAGGACTACTCCAACCATGAAGATAGAAGAGAAGCAGTCCAGAGATGGAAGTCCCTGATGACGCCTTACCATAATAGCAGTCAGCAGCTGTGTATCACTGCAGGTTGTCCAGGACCAAACCAGAGAGGGTTGGACCTGCATTACCACCATTTGTCCACCATCCAGAACTGAAATATCATTGCTGATATGTTCACATAAGAAATTGTTTGACATTGAAATTGGGTCTCAAAAGAACTGTTGGCCCAGAAAGACACTCACTAAAGACTGATTCATATGCCTTTTAGCATAATGATTATTGCTTGTCTCATTTTCTGTTCTTATAAGTATATTTCTAGTAGGTCATGATCTCACTCATCTAGGGGAAATGGTGAACAACATAGACTGATGAACAAGAACAGTCTCAGAGATAAGGAGCCATGGGTCAGACTGTTGGACCTCAAAGGGAGGGTGGGGATAAAAGGGAGAGATCAACCAAAGGACCTGAGTGCATACTATGAGCTTAACCAGTGGTCAAAGATAATAGGGGGGTGGGGGCATGAGTGGGGATGGATGGGGGATTGGAATGGGGGTTGAGGACATATATGTGATTCCTTAATCAATAAAGAAATAAAAAATAAATAAAACAGGGACAAGGTAGTAACAGTTCGCACTTTACAGCATTATTATTGTAAGGGTTAAGTAAAACATGTAAAATATAGTACCTTGTACATAGTAAGTAGTATTCTATAACTGACAGAGGTTATTATTTTTACTAGTATGTTTACCAACATGTGACTATTTGTAGCAAACCTGAATCCTCATAAACATACAGAGAATCTTTTTTTGTAAATCAACAAAAATTTTTATTTTAATTACTGGAGAGAGCTGAAGAAAAAAAGCCACTTTGTATAGACCTGTTAAAAACTGTTGGTGACCTGGTCCAAATATTTCATGACAGTAATTTCTAAAATATTTATGTTGAAGTTTCTTAAGTAAACACTATTAAAGGTAAAAAAAAAAAAAAAAAAAAAAAAAAAAAAAAAAAAAAGGCAGTAACAGTTCCAGCATTCAAAGGAGGAGAGGAATACTTAAATGATGCTAGATAATTTCTTTGGTTTGTTATATTTATTACATTTAGTGTTTACCTCATGTTTTTGTGTAATGATTAAGAGTTTGGATTTCAAGCATTTGGGTTTAGAAGAAATTATATAAATAAGCTCTTTCCTTATCTCAGTTAAATATTATTAGAACTGCAATGTAGACCATTTCTCCCCACCACCCAGATTTGAAAGTTCAAAATAGACACAAAAAGTGAACTCCTAAGTTAACTAACAATAACCAATATTTTGTTGCAGTAAAAAATTCAGATAGTTTCAATTTATTCATATTTTGTTACCTTTGAGAGCTAAGTTGAGCATATCACCAGCACGGAAAGAAATTTCTTCTTCAGATAGGGCAGCAAAATCATATTCTGCTCTAGCAACTACATGGTCATCCTCACCACTTGCCCAGTTGGTGTTGTCTACAAACCAAATTAAGAATGAAAATTAGGTTAGTAAAAATTACAAAAGAAAGATGAAGATATTTTACTTGGCTCTGGTTTGCAAGTTGCCTAAGTTTGTAAAGAAAAACCACCCTTTAAAGTAAATCTATAATTAACATGATGTCAACAGTATGTTCACTGGGATATCTATTATAAGTTTTTCCCTTTTAAGAACAAAATTCTAGTTTCCTTTAGGCCAAGGATTAGTAAACTTTTTCTATAAAAGTTAAGACAATAAGTAAATATTTTAGACTTTGCAGGTAATGAGGCAAATTGAAGATATTGTACTTATTTAATAAAAGAAAAACTTTTCCATAATTTTTTTTACAAAACTCAAAATGTAGTAAAAATTGAGTTCTTGCACACACTGGTTTGGATCAGTGGATAGAGTGTTGGCCTGTGGACTGAAAGGTCCTAGATTAGATTTCAGTCAAGGGCATGTACCTTGGTTGCAGGCACATCCCCAGTAGGGGGTGTGTAGGAGGCAGCTGATTGATGTTTGTCTCTCATCGATGTTTCTAACTCTCTATTCCTCTCCTTTCCTCTCTGTAGAAAAATAAATTTTAAAAAGTTGAGTCCTTTTTTTTTTTTATAATACAGGTCTTCTACTGAGAAGACTGGGATTTTGGAGTTGGGATAATATTTTGGGTTTAACTGTAGTGTTTTCTATCATCACATCATATCATGTGCAAATGTTTATCTGTTAATGCTCATACATAAAAAGATTTGAGGCATTTCATCTTTGAAAATATTTTTTCATACAGATAGGTACTGACAAATCCTAATATTCACTGAACTTGTGGTTTTAATTGCGTATATCCATCTATAAGTAGAGAATTCTGTAAATTCTTCTTTTGTATTAATGTATGTCATGTCAGTAGATTAGAGACTAATGCACTTCCAAATGAAAATCATTTAGGTGGAGACTTCTCAAGTACATAGTTCAATGGACTTTGAAATATGGAAATTTCCTTTTCACTTGCATGGAGATCCCAAAACACTGTATTCTTCCCTCCTTCATCCCTTGCTATTCAGACTTTGCTTCTTTCCCACTGGATTCCTTGCTGTTCACATGACACGTCAGGGACACTACCACTTACATACCTTTGTTATTTCCTATGCCTCAAATAGCTATAGGTCTTATTCTCTTCCCTCCTCAAGGGAAGCTTCCCTGACTAGTGTAGCACTGTAACCCCACTTCCTAACTCTGGTTTTGCAACACTCTTACTTTTCTTCCTATGGCACTATCTTGTTAGGGGTTCTGTGCACTTACTGGACATGTAAGTCTATTTCTTTCACCAAATAGGGAAAGTTTTCTGTCATTATTTCTTCTAATAGGTTTTCAATATTTTCTCCTCTCTCTCTGGCACTCTAATAATTTGGATGTTGGTACGCTTAAAGTTGTCCCAGAGACTCCTTACACTATCTTCATATTTTTGGATTCTTTTTTTGTTTTTTTTTTTTCTGGTTGGGTGTTTTTTGTTTCTTCATACTTCAGATCTTTGGCTTGATTCTTGGGGTCCTTTGATGTACAGTTGAATTTTTGTATATTCTTTATTTCAGACAGTGTATGCTTAATTTCTGACTGGTCCTTTTCCATTTTTTGGGCATTCTCATTAAGGTCCTTGAAGGTCTCACTAAGCTCCTCGGAGATCTCATCAAGTTTCTTGGCAGTTTTTAGAAGATTCTTGAGTAACCTAATAAATGTGGTTTTGAACTCTATATCCAGTAGTTTGCTCTCCTCCATTTCTTTCATTCGTGACAGGTTTCTTTGCCTCCACACTTTGGCTGCTTCCCTGTGTTGACAAGAGTGGTTTTGTGTGATAGATGACTTATAGGGGCCAGTGGCTCAGCCTCCCCAATCACCTGAGGTGGAAGCTCTTGGTGCACCCCTTTGTGGGCTGAGTGCAAAGTTTTGTTGTAGTTAAGTCTTGATTGCTGTTGGTACACCGGGCCAATTGGCTGAGAACTCACTGTGTCTATAATGGAAGAACTGCCAAACTGGAGACACACTTATGGGGCAGGACTTGCTTCGGTGGGGCTTTGATGCCTCTTGAATGTGTCACTTATGGATGTGAGGAGTTGAAATCTGGTGTTGTCTCACACTGACCACTAGGTACACTGGCTTCTGGGTCTCCAATGGGATGCAGGTCAGCTACTGCCTGAGGCCACCCAGCAGGAGCTACAGCGCAAACTACAATTTTCTCCTCTTTGCTTGGTGATTGGAGGTTTTGGAGCTGTCTGACCAGAGCTGCAGTTAGGGGAGCTGCTGATAAAGGCTGCGATAGGGAAGGCCATTCATATGCAAAAGCAGCTGTGCAGAACTTGGGTGGGTCTATACATTGTGAGGGGTGGGGGTCTCAGGGAGTCACTAGGCTAGGACGTCTGTCTATGTACTTTTGTTCACCTGCTTGACAGCCTCTCTCTTTTTCCTTATTGTTGAAAGTATTACATGTTCCCTCTTTTCCCTAATTGACCACCTCCAACCTGCTCCTGCCCCCCATCCCAGGCCTTCAGCACCCTATTGTCTATGTCCATGGGTTATGCATATATGCATATATGCATACAAGGTCTTTGATTGATTACCTCCCACCCACTCATCCTCCCCTGCCTTCCCTCTGAGATTCCACACTCTGTTCCATGCTTCCATCTCTCTGGAAGCACTCTGTTTGTTCATCAGTTTGTTCCTTAGATTCCACATGAGTACAATCATGTGACACTTGTCTTTCTTTGACTTATTTTATTTAACATGATATTCTCCAGGTCCCTCCTGGTATCTTAAAGGGTAATATATTCTTTCCTACTGCTACATAGGATTCCATGGTATGAATGCAACACAGTTTTTTTTTTTATTCATTCATCTACTGATGGGCACTTGGACTGTTTCCAGATCTTAGCGATGGTAAATTGTGCTGCTATGAACATAGGGATGCTTACACTCTTTCTACTTAGTGCTTCAGGTTTCTTATGATATATTCCTAGAAATGGGATCACTGGGTCAAATGGCAAATTCATATTTAATTTTTTGAGGAAACTCCATACTGTTTTCCATGATGGTTGCACCAGTCTGGAATCACCAGCAGTGTACTAGTGTTCCCTTTTCTCCACATCCTCGCCAACTTGTCATTTGTTGATGGTAGCCATTCTGACAGGTGTGAGGTGATACCTCATTGATGTTTAATTTGCATCTCTCAGATGATCAGTGGGTTTGAGCATTTTTTCTTAAGTCTCTTGGCCATCTGTATGTCCTCTTTGGAGAAGTATCTATTTAGGTTCTTTGCCCATTTTTTAATTGGATTGTTTGTCTTCCTTTTGTTAAGTTGTATGAGTTCCTTATATATTTTGGATATTAACCCTTTATTAGATGTACCATTTCCAAATATGTTCTCCCCTACAGTGGGCTCCCTTTTTGTTTTATTGATGGTTTCTTTTGCTGTAAAAAACCTTTTTATTTTTATGTGGTCTCATTTATTTTCTCCCTAGTTTCCTTTGCCTTAGGAGATATTTCTGTAAACAGACTGCTACCTACAAGAGATATCTAAGATTTTGCTGCCTATAGTTTCTTCTAGAATTTGTATGGTTTCATGACTTAAGTCTTTTACCCACTTTGAGTTTATTCTTGTATATGATGTAAGTTGGTAGTCTAGTTTCATTTTTTTTGCATGTATCTGTCTAATTTTCTCAACACTACTTATGGAAGAGATTGTTGACTCCAATGCATGCTCTTGCCTCCTTTGTCAAATATTAGTTGAGCGTAACGGCTTGGGTCAATTTTTGGGTTCTCTGTTCTGTTCCATGGGTCTATGTGCCTTTCACAGTCTGTTTCCCCCTACCTAACTGATGAAATGTTACCTGTCCTTCAAAAATCTAACTTAAATGCAACTTATTGGATACTAATAACTGCCCCCCAAAAACTAGCTTTGCTTTTTAAATTGAGAAAGCATTCAGTACCTGTTGGTAGAGAAGGAACTTAACAAACAGGTCTGCTTTTGTTTCTAGTCCTATTTTATTAAAGATGTGACCCTGGACAAATGACTTCTTTGAACTTTAATTGTGCCCCTTGTAAAATGAAGGTAATTCCCATCTCTTACAGTTACTGTAAAAATTAAGTGAGATAAAATACACAAAATACTCAGTAGTGTCTTTCATATAAAAAAGGCTCAATAAACCCTATTTTCCCCCAACTGTCCTTATTCCTTACCACACTCTTTCTGTCTCATCCCAGTTACCTGTATATGTATTTTACTGATCTCTCTGCCAATTAACTTTTAGGAAAAAGGGAATTATGTCCTATGTATACCCCTAGCATCAAATTCAGTACCTTGTAAATAGTAGTTAGGTTATGTATACTCTTATACTGAATGAACAATTAATAAATCAATAAGCCTGTTTTTGCAATATATTTCTTTTCCAGTTCTGAAGTTCTGAACTAAAAATATAACTGATCAAAAATTTTAAATACAAATAAATATAAAGAATGTTAATGTAACAAATCTATTCTTGAGATTTGAGATTGTTATGTGGTCTCTTATTCTTACCTGTTATTTCGTCACTGTGGGTAGACAGCAGTTTCCAGATGAGGTAAGGACCACCAAGGATAACAGCAAAGAATAAGAATATTGGCCAAGATTTTGCTGAGTTAGCCGCTCTGTCATCAGCACCAAGGCTAGCAACAGTTCTTTCACTTTCTGACCATAGGTCCTCATTCTCGGAGCCTTTTCTTAAACCTATCATGTGCTGTAACCGTCTGTAAAGATACCTTATAGTCCTAACTAATGCAAAAGCTGAAAAAACCTTTGTGAAGTGTATTTTTAATCGGGAAAAATGATTCGCTACATCCAATACAGCCCTAAAACTGTTATACACAGCTGAAAAGGTAGCATCCATCATCATACTGACAGAGGCAAATGCATGTACAATACTTTCGATGGACTGAAATGCACCTCTGCTGCTTTCTTCAGCTTGCTGAACAAATCTACTAGGCGGAAGATCATCTACACGGAGGCGGTTATAATTTAACCCATTATATCCATAACTATAAGGGCTATAGCTTCCATAAAACGAATTTCCATAGGCACCATATCCTGAAGAAAATGAGCTGTAAGCAGGTCTGAAAGTGTTCACACTGCTACTTCCTGTCTGGTGTGATGGCCTTGGAAGAATAGGTGGGGGCACTCTGGTAAGTGCTGGTTGTCCAGGTCTTGTCAATAAAGTAGGACCCAAATCAGCGGATCTAAAACAAACAAAATTCAACTTAAGCACAATAGGTTCAATTCAAATGAACTATAAAATTCCTCTGATATCTAGTGTTATGAGATTCTACTGAATATATGTTAAGAGTAAGGAATAGCCCTAACTGGTTTGGCTCAATGAATAGAGTGTCAGCCTGTGGACTGAAAGGTCCCAGGTTCAATTCCGGTCAAGGGCATGTACCTTGGTTGTGGGCACATCTCCAGTAAGAGGTGTGCAAGAGGCAGCTGATCGATGTTTCTCTCTCATTGATGTTTCTACCTCTATCCTTCTTCCTCTCCCTTCTTCTCTGTAAAAATCAATAAAATATATTTTTAAAAAATTGAAATGAAGTAAAAACATGTAAATATGACAAAAATTTCAGTAAAATCTTACACATGATGCCCACAACCAGTGATTATCTTGCAACTATTAATATGAGGCAAGAAAAAAACCCAAAAAAACAACAACTAAGGAACAGAATGGAAATACAGAACTTGGGGAATTCCACTTCACATAATGGATTCTAGGTAATCAGACTAACCTTACACTGAAAACAACTAGATAAGCTAGTATAAAATTGTCTGTTTAATGCATGAGAGAACAAGGAACTGAGGAATTATGGAGACAAAACCTAGAGAGACTATTCTGAGATATTTCTCAAGGGCAAGGGCCAATTCTGGAAGAGATGGCTGATAGAATAAGAAGCTGAATAGTGGTTTTAATAGATTCCTAACGTAACCCCCCACCCTTTAAGCTGGGACCTTAAAGGGCCATATGCTAGGAGAAAGGGTAAGACGGTTTACAGGAAATAGACTAGTCCTGGGAGGAACTAAAACCACAGTTTGAAATAAGCTCAATTCTTGATTGGATTCAAATGATCCTAAATTGCTAGTGGCTCCAGGTGCCTGTCAAAAGTAAAACTCAATAGAGGAAGATATCATTTTAGGCCACAAATAGTTGTTTTTTGTTTTTTTTTAAACACATATTTTATTGATTTTTTACAGAGAGAAAGGGAGAGGGATAGAGGGTTAGAAACATCAATGAGAAAGAAACACCAATCAGCTGCCTCCTGCACAACCCTTATGGGGATGTACCTGCAACCAAGGTATATGCCCTTGACCAGAATCAAACCCAGGACCCTTGAGCCCACAGGCTGACGCTCTATCCACTGAGCTAAACCGGTTAGGGTGATCACAAATAATTTTAAATTGTCTATATACAATGTCCAGCTTTCATTAAAAAAAATAATTAGGCCTATATAATGTCAAAATTACATGTTTTTTAAAAAGAGCAACATCAGGCAATACAGAGATCCACAGGGGATACTACTAATGGAGTTATTAGGCAGAGACTTGAAACAACTATGACCAATATATTCAAGGTAAAAAGAAAAAACTGAGCTGAAGCCGGTTTGGCTCAGTGGTAGAGCGTCAGTCTGCGGACTGAAAGGTCCCAGGTTCGATTCCGGTCAAGGGCACGTACATTGGTTGCGGGCACATCCCCAGTAGGGTGTGTGCAAGAGGCAGCTGGTCGATGTTTCTCTCTCATCGACGTTTCTAGCTCTCTATCTCTCTCCCTTCCTCTCTGTAAAAAAAAAAATCAATAAAATATATTTTAAAAAAAGAAAAAACTGAGATTTTTTTTTCCAGCTAAACCAAATGGAAATTCTAATACTAAAAGAAAGAAACAAACAAACAAAAAAAGAAAACATACCCACAAATACCTGAAACCATAAATTTACTGACTGGCTTAATACCAGATTAGACACTCTGAAAGAAAAATATCAGTAGACTGGAAGAGAGTTCAGAAGAAAATACTCAAAATGAAGCATGAAAAACAAAGGAATACAGACAAAAAGAGAGTAAGATAGGTTGTAGAGTGAAATTTAGAGCGTTTATGTAATTGGAGTCAAAGGAGTGAAAAAATGATGGGCAGAAGCAATATTTTAAAGAGATAATGGCTGAAACTTTTCTGAAATTAATGAAAGACATCACATTAGTTCAAGCATCTCTATGAATCCCACCCAAAATAACACAAAGAAAACCACAGTGAAGCTCACCAAAGAATAACTGCTGAGAACCAAAAACAAAGAGAAAATCTTGAAAGCAGTCAGAGGAGAAACTTCCTTTAGGAGTAAGAATAAGACAGAGGTAGCCAAAACTGTTAGAAAGGTGACAGGAAGGAAAAAAGTTAGACAGGAAAAATGTAGATTCCTTGATGACAATGTTGAATAGATCTTTACACTTGTTGTTAACTAAACAATAAATGTCTTTATAGTCCAAAGCACAGTAAGCCAGATGTTACTTACAGCAGAAACTATTCTTGATACAATGTTTAATATGAGTTCCAGAAGAAAGGATCAGAAAGAAAAATGCTCAAATAATATATAAAGATACAACTGGTAAGAATTTTCCTGAATTAAAGAAAGATATGTACCCTCAGACTGAACACTGAGTAGGAGGGAGAAAATAGAAAGGTATATATGTATGTCTACATACTCACACCCTGATAGAGCTTAATAAAGTTGCAGAGGATCAAGGTTATCAGGTAAAAACTTAAAGGCTACTAAGGAAAAGACAGTCTACCTATAAATAAATAGAAATTAGACTCAACTGAAAAAATTCTGTAAGTTAGACAACTTTGATACAAAACCAGAAAAGTATGATAGTACAAAGAAATAAAATTGTAGGTCAACTTCAACTAGGAACATATATGCAAAGATCTTAAAATATCAAAACAGCCGGGACCGGTTTGGCTCAATGGATAGAGCGTCGGCTTGGGGACTGAAGGGTCCCGGGTTCGATTCCGGTCAAGGGCATGTACCTTGGTTGCGGGCATATCCCCAGTAGGGGGTGTGCAAGAGGCAGCTGATCGATGACTCTCTCATCGATGTTTCTAACTATCTCTCTCTCTTCCTCTCTGTATAAAATCAATAAAATATATTAAAAAAATTATCAAAACAGAGTTCAGCATTGTATTTTTACAAAATAATTACAATTAAGCATAGTTCACCCAGAAATGCAAAGATATTCAACATTAGAAAGTTAACTGATACAATAAGCCACATTTCTACATGACGTTCTCAATAGATGCATTAAAGTCGTTAATAAAATTCAATACTTCTTCATATTAAGAATCTGAGCATGGTAGAGTCAGGAGTTCATCAGGAAAGCTATCAAAACAAAGAGCAGCCACGCCTGTGTGGCTCAGTTGGTTGAGCCTAGTTCCAGGTCTCCCGTTCCAGGTCAGGGCACATGTCTGGGCTGTGGGCTCCTTTCATCCCTACTAATAAAGCCTGCTCACCATTTCACCACAGTACAATATAAGCCAACCTCTGAGACGTCCCATTCACACAGAACTTCCAAACATCTCTCAGTGCCCTCTCTTTTAATGTTTTTATTTGTTTGTTTGTTTTTTAAGAGAGAGAGAGGAAGGGAGAGGGAGAGATAGAAACATCTATGACCAGAGAGAAATCACTAATTGATTGCTTCTTGCTCGCCCTCTACTGGGGATGGAGCCCACAACACAAAAAGCAAATGTTATACTTAATTGTGAGACTTGAAATACTCCAATGAAAGTCGGATCAATTCAAGAATGTTGGCTAGGCTTATTTGTAAAAGATAAGATTGTCAAAATGGAACACAAGAAAATTAAAACCAAATAATAAGAATAAACTAAGTCTGAATTGTGCTGGATATATCTTTATTTTACAAAACAAAAAAGAATAGAGCCTGGCCGGCATGTCTCAGTGATTGAGCACTGATCTATGAATAAGGAGGTCATGGTTCAATTCCCAGTCAGGTACATGCCCGGGTTGCAAACTCAATCCCCAGTGTAGGGCACACAGGAGGCAGTAGGTGAATGATTCTCTCTCATCACTGATGTTTCTATCTCTCCTTCTCCCTACCTCTCTAAACATATATTTTATTGATTTTTTACAGATAGGAAGAGAGAAGGATAGAGAGCTAGAAACATTGACCAGTTGCCTCTTGCACACCCCCCACCGGGGATGTGCCCGCAACCAAGGTACATGCCCTTGACCAGAATTGAACCTGGGACCTTTCAGTCCACAGTCCGACGCTCTACCACTGAGCCAAACAGGTTTCGGCTAAAAATATATTTTAAAAAATAAAAATGAGAAAGGACTTCATGGAGACTATACAAAATATTTAAGACAAAGTCAAAATTCTCACCAACTGTACTTTATTCAATATTCACAAATGGAAAGACTTCCTTGATCATTAAATAAAAGTTCCAATAAAATATAAAATTCAAATAAAAATCCCAATAAGTCTTTCAATAAAGGCTAATTGTAATAAAGGCAAATTTTGAAGAATAGCAATGTGTGAAGGCTCTTGACATAACAAATATCAAAACTTATTATAAAGACAGTATGATGCTAGCATAAGAATAGACAGACAAACAGAATATATCAGAAAGTACCCCAAACAGAACCACTCATTTAGGAAAACTTGATATGACATAGATGGCATTATAAACTAATATGGAGTAGATGAATAAACGGTACTGGGACAACTAGTTATCCACATGGAAAGAAATTAGATTCCCTATTTCACATTGATTTTGTACAACAAACTCAGTATCAGGTGGATTAGAAGACATGTGAAAAAAAGGACATTTGTAAGGAAAATTTTCCTGATTTGAAGAGAAAGGATTTCTTAACCAAAAAATACGAACATTTTGGCTACCTTAAAGTTAAAAGTTCCTGTAAAACATAAATGAACATGAATATAAAGGAAATAAGCCATAGATTGAAAGATATTAAAAACAAAGAAAACAGGATTAATATGAACAATAAATTACTACTACAAATTGATAAGCAAAGATAAAGCCAAAAGAAAATCAACAGAAAAAACTCAAATGATTAATAAGCTTTCAAAAAACCCCCCAAAAACTCAATCTTAACTACTAATCAGAAAGTGTAGGGGGTGGGCGTAAAAAAAGAAAAAAAAGAAAGTGTAAAGATGAAATAGCATTTCACATCCATGAGACTGGCAGATACAGCACACAAAAATAACATCATTGAGGGACCAAATTTTGCTACCCAAAATAAGCCTTTTGGGAGATTGACTTTAAGCTGGTGATTAAGGACAAAAGACAGAAACACTGACCTTCCCCTGACTGGCTAAAAAGACTTTTTATAGAGGATCTGCTCCAGGAAGGAAGGTATCATCATAGATACTTAGAGTTTAATATAAACTACTGTGTGTGACAGCCATGGAGGAACCTAGCAAGATCCATTTATTCAAACTCCTCTCAATAGCGTATTGTTAACAATGGCCCAGTAAACATTTATTTACCAAACATTTGCTTTTCCATCTCCATGTGAATTGCTTTCCTGCCCTTTCAAGTCCCAAATCACCCCCACCAATTCTCCTTAGTACAAAATGGCATATAAACTGCCCATTGTTTCTTTGGGTCTCATATTCTTATGACACCCCCCACATGTACATCTGTAATAAACTTTATACATTTTCTGCTATTAATGTCTCTATTAATTGGATCATTAGCCTAGCCAGGAGAACTTAAAAATGTCAGAAGAAAGTTATTTTTTACACTCCCCACAGTATCAAGTGCTGGAAAGAATGTAGAAAAACAGAATACCTTACCAGTGAAAAGAAAAAACAAATATATAACCACTTTGGGGAACAACTTGGCAATAGTACTTGAAGATGAACACCCTTCCAAGCAATTCCACTTACAGTAGCACATTAGAAAACCCGTGGCAAATGTGGAAAAGGAGAAAGGCACAAGAATGTTCATTGCAGCAGTTTTTAATAGGTACCGACTAATACTTTAAAATCTACAACAGAATAAAGTTTGTTTTTATATAACAGACTATCCTACAGTGATTAAAACAAGCTACAGTATATGAACAAGATAAACTCAAAATAAGTAATATCCATACTAATAAAAGTGTATTATGCTAATTAGACCTGGAGACCTTCCAGACATCCATCCAGACAAAGCCATGGTGGTGGAGCCAAGGCAGAGTCAGGTTAGGGGCAATCAGGCCAGCACGGGTGTGTGTGTGTGTGTGTGTTGGGTGTTGGGGGCAGTTGGAGGCAAGCAGGCTGACAGGGGTGGGGGAGCACTTGGGGACGAGTAGGCCAGCAGGCAGAGTGGTTAGTGGCAATCAGGCAGAAAGGTGAGCAGTTAGGAGCCATCGGTCTGGATTGCAAGAGGGATGTCTGACGGCAGCCAGGCAGCCCAGAGAGGTCTCAGATTGGAGATGGTAGAGGCCAGGCTGAGGGACATCCCTTCCCCCCACCTGCACTGGGCCACTAGTTTATATATAATACTAGAGGCCTGATACACCAATTTGTGCATCAGTGGGGTCCCTCAGCTGGGCCTGCGGGATCGGGTCAAAATTGACTCTCCGACATCCCCCAAGGGGTACCGGATTGGAGAGGTGCAGGCTAGGCCGAGGAACCTCACTGATGTACCATCAGGTCTAGGGAGGAACACAGGATGTTGGCCAGCAGGGGAGGAATCACAGGAGAGCTCCAGGGCATGTCCAGCCCGGCTCCCTCAGTCTCAATCAGCTGGACCCCAGCAGCAAGCTAACCTACTGGTTGGAGCGTCTGCCCCCTGCTGGTCAGTGCATGTCATACTAAGCGGTTGAGCGGCTTTAGCATATTATTAGCCTATTATCAGTTGATTGGTTGAATGGCTGACTGGACACTTAGCATATTTGGCTTTTATTAAATAGAATTAACTGGAAATACATTTTGCAAAATGATAGTTTGAAAAATACATATACACACAAAACTAAGTTGTGAAATATGAGATAAAGTATAAAAACTATTGGGTACACTAAAAACCAAAAAGGCCTAGTAGTTACTATAGAAAAATAATGTTTCTCTAATTTTAATTTTTTTTTTTTTTTAGAACCTGAGGCAAATCTGGCAAAATATTATTTTTTAAAGCTGGGAATGAATGCATACAACTCGTATTCACTATCTTCCTCTCCACAAGTCTCTACATATTTAAAACAAATCACAATGAAAAGAGAGTGGGAAATGGTTAATTTCACATAAACAGAACTTTAACAGATGCAAGAATAAAAACCTCTGTTCTACAGAACAGTCCACATTTTCAGTAAAGTCAAATTACTCATTAAAAAGGTAGTAGAAAGTGTCACCCCGGCTTAACAGCATAATTAAAGCTTATTACTCGTCAAGTATCTATCATTAGGTAGCCGCTGCATTCAAGCATCATGCCGTTTAAATAAATTATTACAAGAGTTTAAGAGTAGGAGAAATATGTTGGGGATTCTTATGTATTAGGTTATGTGACATTCCAGTTCCACCATCGGAACTATTAGGATGTCCAAATCCGCAAACATAGAAGGCTGTGAAACTCTCTCTCATACTATTTTAACCTTTTTTTTTTTTTTGAGTTGTAAATCCATTCAATACTTATTAAGAAAAACAACAACAACAAAAGCCACGGGCCTTAGAGAAAAAAAAACCACCCACATTATTTTGCGCCTAAGGGCCAGCCCTAGGCCTTAGATTTAGAACTCCCGCTTTCAAGTGGCTTCTCCAAATCTCTGCACAACCCACGGCAGAGTGGCTCAGGAAAACAAGGCCAAGTGTGTCACAGGCTGAGATCCCGGTTGCGTAAAAGGGACCTTCTGGGCTTCCTCCAACCACCCGAAAGGCTGGTCCGAAGCTTTAGGGAGACTTTGCTCCCCTTCCAGCCGGGGCTGGGCAAACGCCCCCACCCCGATCCAGACGGAGAGTCTAGCGCTTTACCGGGGGCCCGGCGGTGCCGCCAAGGTGTCCCGCAACCAGAGGGGGGCAGGAAGCCTCCCCCTGTATTCCAAGCCCCGGTCCCCGGAGGCCGCCACGCCAACAGCCAACGGGTCAGACACTGCGGTCAGACAGCGAAGCCGCCCCGGGACCCCCCGCCTCCCCGACCCCGCTTCCCGGCTTGGGGCTGGGCGAGAGGGGGAGGGGAACCTCGCCCCCCACAACGGCCCCAACCGCCCCCGGACAAGGCCCCGCCGCTCCGGCCCACGAAACCCGCGGCCCGGAGCCTCCCGCACTCACTGGAAAGCGGAGCCGGGTCCTGGCCCCGGCCCGGCCCCCGGAATCCGGCGAGTCTCCCAGGGCTTCGGGGGCGGCGGCGGCTGAGACGCCATCTCCTCCGCCTGCGCAGCGCTCCGAGGCGGCTGGCCGCTGGGACTCCGGCTCCGGCGAACCCACGGCTCGCGCACCAGGCGCGACGGGCAGAGCGCCGAGCCCTCCACCCCGCCCACCGGCGCGGCCAGCTCGGGGCGTGTGGGGCTTTGCTTAGCTAGCACGGGAGGGTAGGAGGATGCCACGAACCCATGAGAGACAGAGAGGCTTCTCTTTTTATTTGCCAAAGAAAGAATTTCCTTTTTTTTTTTAAAACCTCCGGAAGGCAAGGGCTCATCGACATTTCTGGCAGCGGCTACCATGCCTTAGATGGCTGGCGTCCCTCGGCAGCTCCTCCGGGACCAGTCCCGCTCCGGCGTGGACTTTTGTCCCACGCACTCACTCCTCCACCCGCGGGAGAGGCGGGGTGTGTATGTGGGTGTGTGGGTGTGTGTGTGGGAGGCAATCCAGGCAATTTCACTGATTTTTTTTTTTTTTTTTTCAAACACGCAGGGGATAGCGCATTCAGTCCTCCCGACACGGGGCTGGTACTTTGGTTCTGATGCTCTCGTTTCCTCGGGGAACGGAATTGCTAGACGCATGGGTGCGTTGTCTTTAGTCTTCCCCGCTCCCTCCGAGGGCCGGCAGGGGTTAAATCTCAGGCTCCGGCTCCGCGGGAGTGGAGGTGAGGCCTGGAGGTCCGAGGCGAGGGCGTGCCGTCTGGGTGCCGGAGAGGTGCGGATGGAGGGGATCGTTTCCTTCCCGCCGGAGCCGCTTTGTTAGCGAGGAGGGGTGAGTGGGAAGTTTCTTGGACTTGACCGAAGGCGGGGGTGGCTGGGGGACGGGGAGAGGGAGGGAGGTCTTGTTTGGGAAAAAAAAAAAAAAAAAAAAAAGACCCTCAAGGTTGGATAGATCTTGGACGGAGGGGAGATTGCACAGCTGAGTGTATCGGTAGCGAAATGCAGTTATGAGCGCCTCCCTCTTTAGAAATCCAACCCCCTCCTCCACCCCCACGAGACAAATGACACCCTTCAGTATGCAGTGAGTTTTTCAAAGATCACAGGATGAGAGACAAGCCTGGTCATGCTGGTGCCTTTCCCCATGCCCTGCCCCTTTCCCTAGTTGCAGTGAATGGTTTTTGTGAGATTCTGAGGGGTGGAAAGAAAGTTCATCCTCTCCTCCAGTGTACGGGTTTACCACGGGCTGGCTTGGTTATCCTTGGCTTGTGGAGAAGGGAGGCACTCTGTCCCCTTGGGGATCCTGACACGTGGGAGCAGGTTCTGTTGCAAGGACTTGTTCCGGTTCTTTCTGTAAACACGTAAACGAAAGCAAACGTCCTAACGAAGGTAGCAACAGTGAGAACCTTCCTGTGCTGGCACAGTTCTTATAGCTTGCTTTGAAAGATGAACCTCTTATGGGACAACGGGTTTCTGATATCTTAGGAAGCGGTCCTGTCATTTCAACGCTGTACTTTAAGATGAAACAACCAAATTTAAGGCATAACGTATTTCCTCCTTTCAAGGTGCTCAAGAACGCGCTAGATTGTTGCTAGGTGAAAATGATTTGGGGGGATTGTAAATCTATTCAATTAATAACACACTCAAGAGGGTTTTGATTGGTTTTGTTTAAGACTCAGTACAGATCCAATTCCCAGTAGGTGTAGGAATTTCTCAGAGCGAAGAGATGATGTGGTGCCATTAATTCACATTGCATGATATCTTTATTTCCAGGAACTATTGGAGAAGTAAACATTGTTTTTAAGCCAAAGGAAAGAAAATAAACATTTTGTTGAAATTATTTAACTTAAGTCCCCAGGGCAATCTTTGATACAAAGTGTCCTTTTTAAAGCACTTGCTCCTAGACTTTATTGAGGAAGAAGAGTTATTTGTTTCTCTGAGTTAAAGGTTAATTATGAATTAAATGAAATCCTTGACCTAAACTAATGGAAAGGGGGAGAAAAGATGGCATAAAGTAATTAACTACCTCCCCCCCCTTCCTTGGCAACAAGAGAATTATAATGGAGTTCACTTCTCTAATATTTGTTTCTAAGCGAATTTTTTCAAATTGCAAAAGGTAGCAAATTGTTTCAGACAGCATTTACTCTAAAATATTTTCATTTCTTTTGTTTTTGTTGGAGGTTTTACTTGTGCATGAAAGAAGCAAAATTTTCTTGTTTTGATAATAGTTGTCATTTAGTTATATCATCAAAGTAAAATTGATGTTTTTGGATCCACCCATTAATTTGTTTTAAATGTTTGACTGCTTAACTTTCATTAAGGTTATTCAAGTATTATATAATGTAAACTTATCTGATAAGTGTTTTTTTTTCTAGCAAATTCATTTTTTAACTTCTAATATGAAAAGTTTATTGAATTTATTCTGTATTCTCAAACAATACTGAATGGTACAAAATAAAAGCAAATTTTTACTTTCTGCTCTTGTTGTCATCACTTTTCTCAGAGACAGCCATTCTTGGTTATTATTATTTTTGATTGATTGAGTTATATTGATATACTTTATCATAATCCAAAATACTAAACTAATCCCTAGAAACTTATCTGATTCATCTAATAAATTTCTTTGAAGTTTATGTTTCATTATGCATAGAGTGAAAGGGTCATTATTGAGGAATACAAAATAGTGTTTTTCAAATAAAAGTTTTTATCTTTAAAGATGATTTGTTTGTGAAAGTAAAACACAAAAGATGCTCATTAGTTTTACTTTTTGTTTCTTTCTAGTTTTAGATATTCATTATGTTTCCGCTGACTGAGGAAAACAAGCATGTGGCCCAGTTGTTGTTCAATACTGGTACATGTCCAAGATGTATCTTCAGATTCTGTGGTGTGGATTTTCATGCACCTTACAAACTTTCCTATGAGGTATTTTCTTTTTCTTTTTTTTAAGTTAAGAAGTTTTCTATAGTTTTAAAATAATACTTGTATATTTGAGGGCAAGTTAAATTTAAAAACACTATAATAAAATAATTATGGGTAATGTTAATTTTAGAATTTACATTATAAAAATGTAAGTTTCTTTTAAGTGAATAATCTAGCATTTAATATAGTGGGGTCTTTGTGGAGCAATTCCCTGATGCATTTAATGTTTGTATAAATCTTTCCTAAAGAGTATCTAGACAGAATATCACAAAATAATGCTTCTTACCAGATATTAGGAAGTTGTAACAGGAGGGGGTGGTAGTCCTTACCTCTATTAAGTGAAAGCACTGTGGATTTGGTTGCATTTTTTTCCTTGTTTTTTATTTTATCATTTTATTTACAAGTAGTATTTGCAACTCTCTAGAAAGAAATGCTATTAAAATCATTAATTATTTACTGCTATTAATAACAACAAAAGTAATATACAGAGATCTTTGACTTTTAATAGAATTCTTTCACATAAAATAAATAACATTTTTGTGAAATATATTTGATTCTAATTGTGATATTCTTTTCAGAGGCAGATAGTAATTTTATATATATTTATATATATGTAAATATATAACTATACAAACAATATAAACACACACACACACATAGATTCATACACATGAACACTCAGTTTCTTATAATTTTAAAAAATTGCCCAAGAGTTAGCAATAGCAGTCATTTTTTCTATGTATTAATTGTTTCTATTATTTTTAAATAATAATTATATCTAATATTCATATAGCATTATATTTCAAGCTTTCATGTAACTCTCATAGTAACCTATTAGGTAAGTACATACTATGACTGTCTCTATTTTCAGATGAAGAACTGAGGCACAGAGAGGTTAAGCAACCTGCCCAAAGTTACACAGCTATTAAGTGAGCAAGCTAGGATATGAACTGTCTGTCTGAATCCAAAGCCTAGAATTTGGAGCTGAAAGACATGGATTTGAATCCCAGTTCCACCACTTTCCATCTTCTGTTTTCTCTTCTGTAATTGGGAATGATGATAACATCCACCTCACAGGATTTTAAGGGACAATATCTAATAAAGTATGTGAAAGTACTTTGAAAACTGGAAATGGTGCATATGCTATGATGATTAATATATGTGTATATTTATTTATACACACAATAACTATAAAGTAACAAGACTGGTTTGTGTAACTTCTATTACACATTTTAAAAGACATTATAATCTAGTATGCTATGCATATGTTGTTAAGATTTAAAACATTAAGAAACTTAGTGTTACTAACTTTTGTTTGTATCATTTGTGTAAATATGTAAATATTTGAAGACTTTTTTTAAAAAAATGTACTTAAATTTTGACCTGTTCTATTCATATAATTATATATGTACATATACATGTATATGTACTGTGTTATATGTAGATCTTAGGTAATAATAAACATTTGTGTGGGTCATAATATGCCTGTATGTGTATGTATGTATATTTCTCTGTTGATAAAATAGGAGAGCTAATGTCTTAATAAAATGAATTAAATTTGTTTGAGTGAAAGACTTTTCCCTTTACAGTCAGTACATTGTAATCCGAGTGAATAATTTAAAAGGATATTTATTCAGCAACTGAAAAATAAAGCCTGTTTAAACAAAGTAGAGGAAAAGTTCTCTGAGTATTTGGTGGAGTAAAATGTCTGGAGTATGAGAATGGTTTCAAAGGAATGCCACTTTTAACATTCTAATACAAAAGGCGACAAAAAGTAGACAAACCACAATGTAGAAGAGAGCCTCTTTCAATTAGCATGTATAAATGTTTTGTAATTATGGGGCCAAATCTCAGCATTTCCAGCATCTGTCTACCTTTGTTTAATAAATTGTCTTGAATTACTTTTACCTAATAGACCCCTAATTTCTCTAATTTTTCAGACTTCACATTAAATATTATACATATGAAGTTTTAGTGATTGTGAGGTTATTAAATAACCAATAATGGAAAGCAATAATGGAAAGTCCATTTGTATTTCTATCTGTTAATAATTGGAACTGAAAGGTGGTTTCTTTTTTCTCTCTTTTTTTTTTCTTTTTTTTTTTAAGTAGCAAGTGAATGAGTGAGTGACCCCATAACAGAACTAACTAATTAATTAATTTCTTAGTGGAGCCTTTCTGTGTCCCTGATATATGAAACTCTTTTGAAAAAATATTCACACATTTGTTATAGGAGTTAGTTAAGCTTCTTTTAAATTCCCCAGAAAGCCAATGCTAGCTAATAAAATTAATTCATTGCTCTAGATTGAATATAAATCAACATTGGGTAAGTGTGATATATCATAATATTCGCTCCTGTTTTCATGCTTCATCTTACCCTTAGAGTTATTACTTTTATTGTGTTTTGTTAAAAATTAACTTTCTAGGAGTTGCTCAATGAACTACAGAAATTTCTGAAAACTGAAAAAGGTGAATTAATTTTGGAAGCTCCAAGCCCACCTCCCAAGAAAATTCGACTCCATGAACTGGAAGATGGGATTGATGGGACTGATAATCGGAGTCAAAATGGAGAGGGAAGGGTGTCTGTTGTTGAAGACGGAAGCATTGCTTCTAAGAACTCCAATCCAAATGTATGCAATGTATGCCTAGGAATTCTTCAAGAATTCTGTGAAAAAGAGTTTATTAAAAAGGTAAATAATCTGTCTTCTGTAATTATATGTGCACTTATATACAGATTTTTAGTTTTAAGACCTAGAATTCTTTTTTTTTTTTTTCAATCCTTACTTGATTTTAGAGAGATAGGAAGGGAAATAGAAAGATAGCAATATCAATGTGAGAGAGAATCATTGATTAGTTGCCTCCCATATGTTCCCTGACTGGGAATCGAACCCTCAACCTTTTGGTATATGAGATGACACTCCAATCAACTGAGCCACCTGGTCAGAGCAGACTTAGGATTCTTGTATCTATAGGAATAATGTCATTCATTTCAACATGTTTCACACCAATGGATTATTAAGATATTTCTTTAATTTATTTCAAATAGTGAAAACCTTTTTATCTCAAATTACCTTTTTATCAACATGATATCTGAAAACGAAATATATATATATTTTTTATCAACGTACTATCTGAAAATGAAATTATATATATATATATATATATATATCCAGTCATGAGTGCTATTTAATTGAAAAACATAAATAGCAGTTTTCCCTTTGCCATTTTAACATAAGAAGCTAGAGAAAAGTTCTGTGTTAGTCATACCTATTAGTGTCTAGAAAAGACGAATGTTACAGCCTTGTGGGAGGTACAAGTTTGAATGTAGGACTGGCTTTTGTTTCCAGCTGTCAAGAGTGCCATATCTGGCTTTACTTTAAAATCTTTTTTAAATGATGAGGTAACCTAATAGAAAACTATTTTGACATTCAGCAGATTGTTCTGCAGGTGAGTCCTTGCTGTTTTGGTGATGTCAGTCTTCAGGGTCATAGTTAGCAAATATTTGATTTCATGATGTTTATGAGAATTCCCTACTCAAAAGTAAAAGTTTGGAAGCTTTGCAGTGTCATTTCCTGGACCAAAAATCTATGTTATGAACATTAGTATACAATTTTTAACAATTCCTGAGAATTTATATAATACTCTTTTATGTAATAAAAAATAATTTTTATGTAATACTTTTTCAGGTGTGTCAAAAGGTAGAGGCCTCTGGATTTGAATTCACTAACTTAGTGTTTTCAGTCTCCTTCCCACCACAGCTATCTGTAAGAGAGGTAAGTTCATTTATACACATGAAACTGCATGTGAAATGCATGCTGAGAGTTTCTCAAAAAATACGAATGTGGAAATATTCCTTACCATATTACATTTTTTTACATTTTATGTACGTATTGAATGGTTGAAAGCATTACATTATAGCTGTTTAATAATATTGAGTGAATGGATGAACAAAGAAGTTATTGGTTCAGTTATTGGTTCTAAATCAATAAAAACATATTTTTATGTTCACCTGCAGAACAATCTGCTGAATGTCAAAATAGTTTTCTATTAGGTTACCTCATCATTTAAAAAAGGACTCACCTGCAGAACAATCTGCTGAATGTCAAAATAGTTTTCTATTAGGTTACCTCATCATTTAAAAAAGATTTTAAAGTAAAGCCAGATATGGCACTCTTGACAGCTGGAAACAAAAGCCAGTCCTACATTCAAACTTGTACCTCCCACAAGGCTGTAACATTCGTCTTTTCTAGACACTAATAGGTATGACTAACACAGAACTTTTCTCTAGCTTCTTATGTTAAAATGGCAAAGGGAAAACTGCTATTTATGTATTTGTCACAGGATTGCTATTTTTTTGTTTTTGTTTTTATTTAATTTACAGCAAAAGAAACTATCAACAAAACAACAAGAAAGCCCACTGCATGGGAGAACATAAAAATATGTTTTTATTGATTTCAGAGAGAGAAAGGGAGAGGGAGAGATAGAAACATTCCATTGACTGCCTCCTGCACTTCCCCTACTAGGGATCAAGCAAAATGGGCAAGTGCCCTGTCTAGGAATCGAACCTGGGGACCTAGTGCATAGGACCACCCTCAACCAACTTAGCCACACTGGCCAGGCAGGACTGCTATCTTTATAAAAGGTCCTCATTCAGCCCTTGCTGGTCTGGCTCAGTGGATAGAGCGTCAGCATGCAGACTGAAGGGTCCAGGTTCAATTCCGGTCAAGGGCACATGCCTGGGTTGTGGGCTCGATTCCCAGTAGGGGGCACGCAGGAGGCAGTCGATCAGTGATTCTCTCTCATCATTGATGTTTCTCTCTCTCTCTCCCTCTCCCTTCCTCTCTGAAATCAACAAAAATATATTTTAAAAAAATAAGTAAAAGTAAAAGGTCCTTAGTCAGTAGAAGACATTTATTGAGGATTAGCTCCGTGGTCAGGAAAGATAATTGACCAGGAATCCAGAGACGTGTGTGTGTGTGTGTGTGTGTGTGTGTGTGTGTGTGTGTGTGTATGTGTGAAGTGTGCATTTTATAATGGTCTAGGATAGGGTTATGATGAACTTCATTATTTTCTGATATAAAATGGTAGCACCTCATAGTCAATGGTAAAAAGGGAAATAACCTATTTCATTTAACATTTTTCCTTTGTTAGCAAAAAATCACATAATAATATTAGTAATTATTTTAATATTCTTGTGTGTCAAAACTGACATGAAAACATAAAACTTTTTGTTAATACTATTATATGAAGTATAGGGAGAATGCCCTCTATAATCTTACAACAATGAGTTCTAAACATATCCATTTATTTATATGTATAAGGTGTCTTTTTGTTAAGAATCCCAAGGCATCCCCAGAACATTATATCTTATACTGTCACTTTCTTTGGGTGAGCATGTGTATTAGCCCCTAAAAGACTGAAAAATGATTTAAAACTTGTAAAATTATAGGTAGGAGCTGAGACGTGAACAAGAATAGATGCTTTTAAGTAGTGCCTCCGTTGATGACAAGATAACTGAGCAAATGGAAGGATAAAGGGGATGATGATGATATACTCAGGTTTATAAACACTTAAAGTCATTTTCTAGTCAATCATCAAAGCGTTTCTCACAGATAGGTCATCTCCAGGGTTCAGTTTTGGTAGAGAGAAACAGACTTCCAAAAGCTGTGTGACTCACAAAAGGTTGAAGTGTTTGAGTAACAAAAATAGGAATAAGAAGTACAGTTGACCCTTGAACAAAAAGGTTTGAATTGTGTGGGTCCACTTATATAAGGTTTTTGTTATTTGTTTTTTAGAGAGAGAGGGAGGGAGGAAGAGAGCAGGGGAGATAGAAACATAGATGTGAGAAAGACACAGTTATTGGTTGCCTCCCACACACACCCTGAGGAAGGCGGAGGGTGAACCCTCAACCCAGGCATGTGCCCTTGACCGGGAATTGAACCCAAGACCCTTCGGTGCACAGGCCGATACTCTTAACTGCTGAGCCACTGTGGGCAGGGCTGCACAGGGTTTTTTTCCCCCCAATAAATACTGTAAATATACATTTTTTAAAAAATATTTTCATTGACTTCAGGAAGGAAAGGAGAGGGAAAGAGAGATAGAAACATCAGTGATGAGAGAGAATCATTATTGGTTGCCTCCTGCATACCCCTACTGGGGTTGGAGCCTGCAACTTGGGTATGTGCCCTGCCTGGAATCGAATCATGTCCCCCTGGTTCATAGGCTGATACTCAACCATTGAGCCCGCCCAGCCAGGCGATTTTAACAATTTTGATTTAATATTTATTGACTACTTCTGAAGTATTTATATTCCATGTCAGAAATAGAAGATGTCATTTTAAAAATAGAATTATTCTGCTTACACTCTATTTACTCTTAGTAACTGACTTTTAACCACTAGACTATTTAGTAGAAATATGTGACTATTCCTATTATTGGGGAATTATTACTTTCCACAGATTAGTGTGTTGTGACTCATTGTTTTCTTTTTTGATAATGAGTAGTATATTTCCCCCCATTCATTTCTTAAGAATAATAATTATTCAAAAGTATGCAATTTTATATGCATCTTACTATTTTTACAACCAAGGTTTTTTCAGCAAATTGTGCTTATGTTTCACTTTGTGATTTTCTTTTATCATATGTTTTGTTAGTTTCTTTTATTGCTGTCTTTTATTACATCTTTGGTGGTAAGGTATGATATGGGCCAGACTGGATATAAATTGCTTTTTCATACCAACTTAATTTGTTACACATTCCAATTTTAAAAAATTACACATTTTCAGATTATTCTTGCGTTTTGAATATAAATTCTGTAACTTCTTCAGTGACACATTTCTTCTACAGTGTGGTTTTTCAGTTTAGATCTTGTAAAACTTTGAACTTATTTGTCTGTGTGTAGAATAAACATGTTAATATACATGGAATTGATTGGTGCTAGTTATTTCATGATAGAATATACAACTAAGTCAATCTTCCCACTTCTAAAGAAGAAAATTATGATCACAAATATATTGATTTGAAAGCAGATATTTTATCAGCAAGGTAATATTTGTTATATTCCTGATTACAAAAGAACCAAGGGAAGGGATGACCTCAAGTATAGGATTTTTAAAAAAATCAAGCTATTAAATTTGTGTTAATCTCTATATTCCTGGCGCTCCCAATTCCTTTCTGGCTACAGCTATAGTTTTTACTTATCATCATAGAAGCACTAATTTAAGAGCCTAGAAAGAAAACTTGCAGTTAGTTTAATTATCATCATCTTTCACTGAGTTTAGGAGAATGGAAGGAGGGATGGAGTACTTCTCCTGTGGGTATGTTCCTAAGAACCAGCTGGTCTGGTTAGTTTTAGAATAAATACTACTGAAGAGGAGAAAAACAAGCAGATTAATCGATGAAACTGTGTTAGACATACAGTAAGGCACGGTAAGCAGAAATAAATGGAGGCAGTATCCAGAGATTCACAAAAGACAAATATGGAAACTAACCTGATGTAATGCTTAGGAGCTTCAATACCTTCATAATCTCTCTCTCAAAATGTGAATGACAATATAAAGTTGAGATTAAAAGGGAGAATAATAAATATCTCATGACTGTTTTGGTGATTTTCTGGATTTTGGCTTACCATTTGAATGTAAAATTCAGATATCTTGAAGGGAGAGATGTAATAGTGTGCTATGGCAACAAATTATATCTGCATTGAGATCCTTTGAGTGGAAGGATGCTAAATGCTATTCAGAGGAGAATTTAAAGCAAGAGAGAAATGGGATAGATAGAGAAGTGGAAGTATGCTGCATGCCCCTGGCCTAAGGAAGAGGGGATGACTTGCATACATAAAATAGTCACACAGGTTAATTTATAATAGATCAGGAATTAAAGAATAAAATGATGGGCACTGAGAAATAAGGCAATCTTGATGTCAACTCATCAAACAGGTTTGCTAAGAACAAATCAAGTCTGCAACATTTCCTGCCTTTTAACAGGTAGCAGGACTGGTAGAGCAGGGAAATATAGTAGCACCGGTCTGATTGGAAGTCAGCTAGTCACTGACTAGGTTTCCTTCTCATGATAATGACCTGAAAGTGGCAGGAACAGGAGCAGGATGTGACGATGGTTGGGTGGGTTGAGCCACTGGCCATACCCAAGAGGAACTGATTAATGATCGGTATGGACCTGGAGGGTGTTTCTCCCAATGTACTCTCCAGATCAACCACCTGAAACCCACCGGGGGAAGGTTGTGATTGCTGGGCCTTGTCTCAGGCCTCCTAAACCAGAATCTCTAGAGATGGGGCATCAAAGCCTCTCAGCAGTTGATGCACACAGTGAAATGTAAGATCCATGGGACTTCACACAGATTCCTGACGTGCTGCGGAACTATCCGTACCCTGTACTGTTCCTGGTTGATGACAGACTGAGAGCACTCACTACAGGTGTGCACGACAAGAACTGAGCGTATAGCAAATAGGTTGAATGTTAGAATTGAGATCCATAAAGATCTCAAGAATAGGAAAAACAAAACAAAACCCTAACAAAATGAAATTGAATAGAAAGACACATAAATTCCTATACGTGGGATTAGTAAAGGATAGGCAGGAGTGGCTTAAACTGTGTTTTTAAGGCTTAGGGGTTTTAGTTCATGGCCTGATAAGAATGAGAGGTGTGATGTAGATGACCTCTGGGTTTTAGTCCAGATATTAGAAGGATAGGATCTGGAAAGATGAAGGTGGCAATCCTGTGTCACTCCGTGCTGGTCATTTCTGGAGTGCCGTGT